AGATAGATAGATAGATAGATAGATAGATAGATAGATAGATAGATAGAAGATTGCTTCTATTACTTCTGTGTTTATATTGCTTCTGAGTGCTGGTGGCTCTGATTGCTTCTGTTTCTTGTACTTGCTACCACATTGCAAGAACTGCATGGGTATTGTATACATGCATTATGTTTTATATTATTGTATATAAACAAGTTACTTCTATAAATGAATCCTGCTGAATTATGTACCTGTGTGCTGATTGATTTGCTGCAAACTCTGACCAAAGAGGAAACCAGATTCACTTAACAACCGTGTCACTAATTTAAGAACTGCAGTGATTCGCTTAACAAATGTGGTGCGATAAGTCATAAAATGGGGCAAATTCCTTGAACAAATTTCTTACCGAACAACATAGATTTTGGGCTCAATTGTGGTTGTAAGTTGAGGACTACCTGTACTTGTTTTAAAATGGATTATGTGCCATTAAATCAATGTTGGCCCTTAGTAATCGCATAGATATTCCCCATGACAATCTGTCCAACTGGATTCTTCAAGCCAATCCACTTTTCTGTTGGTCACTCTCTTTCCTTCCTCTAAAATGCTGCTTTTAATATGAACATTCTTATTGTGGTTAAATGGATTTTATCAATTGTTGCCCTGCTCCAGCTGCTGCAACCACACTAAAGTGTATACTTCATTGTTCTAACAAACTCTGCTTTGCATTATCCTAACTAGGGCACAGCTTTAAACAATATGAAAATCTGCAAAAATGAATTGGCTACAAATGATACTGAGACATGTAAAAAATAAAAAGAATAGATAGCAAACCTGTTTCCCTGCAGTTGGAAGACCATAGCATACAGTAAAGGAATTCAACAACGGCAGAGTAACAAATGTTCAGCTAGTAAATAAATTAGGTTTATATACCTGCGCGTAGGCTATTCAGATTTGAAAAATATACCCAAAATTATCATGCTAATGTTATATCTGAGACCAAAAAATCCAGGAAGTATGTGTAGGTAATAGCATGCATGGATGTAATTTGCATGTTAGACTGAAACTTGCAAATGAGGAAGCAAAGTAGAATGTACTTTTCCTTTTTTTTCTTTCTCCTCTGAAAATTGTGACATTAAATATAATTTAAATCTTTAGACCTTATTAACTACTTGCACCCTACTTAGAAATGGTGGAAAAGGTCAGTTATTCCAAGATTTACTCAGGACTCCATTTCCATAGATATAGATTATAGGAGACTTGTACTATTTTTACGATATAAAATCCTTCCAGTAATGACATCCTAATAGATGATTCATCATAGTAGGATTTCCTACAGAGAGCAAAACCAGCCTTCTGTGCCTTTTTCAAAAAAGATCAGATCCAGCAAATAGCCCTCAGTTTTATATAGGTCCCGTATTACCCTCTTATGGGAAAAGAGGAGTTCAGTTCCATGAATTGTTATTGCTTTCTTGAGTGGTCTTTATGCCTCCAAGACATAAGAAATTGATTATCGGAGGTTCCATTGTCAAGTCTGCAGAGGATCTACCTCAAAACACCACATTAATCTATCACCTTAAAAAAAAACACTGGAAAGTTTCAGGAGAGATTGTTGAAATCCCTCTAAATTTTGGAATTCTGATATGAGATCATGGGAATGGGATGGCTGAAATCTCATAAGATTTGCTGGTCTCTGGAGATTTTAAACATTTTTAAAAAGAATAATTATTTATATGGTAGATGCTTTGCAAGATCATGCAGTGGCACATGAAGATGTCGCCAATCACTTGCACAACCTAATTCAGAAAGGAATATTAAAAATGGCGAGAACAGCAATATTCTGTCAAGTGTCCCAACTCTTTATTTACTTATTCATTCATTTATCATATTTAAGAACCACCCCATCTCCTTCACAGAGCGACTCTGGGCAGTGTACCATAAAATATTAAAACCATAAAAACAATATGCAAAATACTATAATATATAATGTAGTTTCATCTCTTTGGGTGGTAGCCATAGCTGTGGAACAGAAGATAAAGGATCATGTCATCGTGGCATGAAAGACACAGTGCTATTTTATAGCCGAGAGATGGATCTCAACCCATATTGCCAATTAATTGTTTCTCGTGTTGACAAACAGATGACTTGTCCACTCCAGGTGGCTGACTCATTCTTATTCTTTCTTTCTATCCACAGTTAACCAAACATTTGTTGGCAGTAGATGGAAGAAAAAAAACCTCCAGATAGTTACGGACTGCATGGAACATGCCCTAATCTCTGCCTACCCTCATAGCCGTTACGCTGCAGGCCAAGATATCAAATTCTTCTTCATCCCCCTCTCTTACTTTCCAACCCTACTGACAGATTATATTCTGACATATGGCCACCCCAGACCAGCCAAGAGTCTGTATTGATCACAGTCTCATAGTTTGTACAAGAATCAGACTACATCCACTTCTCATTTAGCAACTTGCCTCAATTAAATTGATTTTCCAACGGGCACATTTATGGCCAAATTTCACCCATTTGACAATGCATGCCAGTGTGTGATAGTCATATGCATGCCAGTGTCTCTGTCATATGTTCACTTAGCAATCATTTCACTTCACAGACTGATTGTTGGAACATAACATGATTACTAACCAAGAAATGAGTGTATAGAAGCGATGAGGCACGTGGATTATAGCAAGATGTTTTAGCTTTGTAAAAAAATTAATCTGGTAAGCAGCCAATATGTAGTTCCAAGTTTGTCCTTTGAGCAAAATACTAAAACTTATTTCGATCAGTAGGTTTAATAAGGAACTGAAATTCATTTCCCCTAAAATCCTACATAAACTTGGACCGATCCTTTTTTATATTTTCACAAATATGTTCATCTTTATGTGACTCAAAATCATGGTTTTGGGCAGTGGTGGGATTCAAAATGTTTTACTACTGGTTCTATGGCCGTGGCTTGGTGGGTGTGGCAGGGGAAGGATACTGCAAAGTCTCCATTCCCTCCCCACTCCTGGGGGAAGGTTACTGCAAAATCCCCATTCCCTCCCTACCCTGCTAACCTGCTTTCCAGCTCCGTTTTCCTGTGCAGGGCAACAAAAGAAGCCCAGCCAATCAGCTGGGACTCAGGAGGCAGAGAATAGATGGGGGTGGGGCCAGAGGTGGTATTTGCCAGTTCTCCGAACTACTCAAAATTTCTGCTACCAGTTCTCCAGTACTGGTCAGAACCTGCTGAATACCACCTCTAGTTTTAAGGTAGGATGACACTGGACAATGATTGTCAAACAAAAAAGGAGAAGAATTCAGTAGATATTAATAGCAATTTTTGGCAGATGTGTTCCTATTGATCAAGAAGTAAAAGGGCTCTGATTCTAAAGAGTCTGAGGAGGAAGTGGAGGTGACTTCAGAGGACCTTGTGGGGATAGCAGCCTGCTTCAGAGAACAGCAGGGAGCTGTTGGGGCTGATTTAGCTGCAGAGCCTGTGAGCAGCTAGAAGCAACAGTAGATGAGGGGGTCTGATCTAAGACCTCCCTTCACATGTCGGAGAAGAGCAGGCAGAGCTGGGTGCTGGAGTTAAGCATGTCATCAGCCCAGAGTTACTATATTCCCACAACAAGTCCTCTTCCTTTGACCCTTATGTGGTGCCAATTTAGTAGTGAACTTTAGTTGACCAGATTCTTGTATATGGGTTTGAGCAATCAATGTCCTGAAATGCAACGTAATGCATTGCACCTGACACCCCCAGTTCAAAGCCAGGAAGGGATCAACAGAGATGGGACCTTTGTTTCTTCTGCCCTGAACTCCTGCCTGTGGAAACACTGCTTTTGAACCTGAACCGGCTGATGACCTACAGTGGCTCTACAAAAGTCTGAATGCTGCTCGGATGACCTTTCTGCCTACTGCTTGAAACTTTTGCTTATCAGGAGTTTGCTTTATAAATTTCCAAGCGATTCTGGACTGTTTGAGATGGTGTGTGCATGTCTGCGTATTGCAGACAACTTGCTGTAATTACCCAAATTAAATAAAGCCTTGGCCTGGACTCCTTGTGCATATGTGTGTTGTGTGTGTGAGGCTTTGAACAGAACAGTTTATTCCCAACCCATGACCTTCTAATATCCATCTCTAGCTGAGCCTGCATCCTGAAGACTTGCCTTCTGCTAGTTGGCCCACACCACTGCTATTGCAACAGAGCGTTTTGCTGGACAGCTTGCTGAATGCATCCATCAGAGCCAAGCATTCTGCATTCTGATCCAGCCAAGACTCAAAAGCAGCAAATTGTCACATTTGAGAGCTTAAACAAGGGCACCGCTGAAGGGGAAAAGTCCCCACAACCCAGTTTACAAGTGGCGACCATGCAATCTGCTCAAGTGTATTTGAACAGTGCTGGGGGATAGACCACAAGGTTCTGCCCACTTAAGAAGGGTACAAACCACCTTTACAGATTCATATAATACTTGCTGACCAGTAATGATGTCAAATGCCAATCAACTTACCATGTTTCCCCCAAAATAAGATCCGGTCTTATATTTTTTGAGACTCCAAAATTATGGCTTATTTTCAGGGAAACGCAATATCAGGATGATCAGCCCGGCTGTGTGACAACACCTCCCCAGTGCACACACAAAAGGCGATGAGCGTGCAAAGGTCAACATTGTCTGGCAGCAGCTGCAGCCCACTGGCCCCTTGGTCAGTGCACTCCATGTAGTGCAGGTGAGTCGATTAGTCGTCCAAGCAACAGAGGGTGGCAGAGGCGGGGGGGGGGGAGGCACACAATCCAGACATGCCACGAGGACCATGGGAAGTTACATGTTGGTTGCAGCTGAGAGTCAATGTGCTGGGGTGGATGGGAGGCTGCAGCTCGCATGGCACATCCCCCGTACCTCTGCCTCTGTCTGCTGCTGGTGCCGCCACGCAAAGATGAGCCTCCCGCAGCTGGCTGCCTGCTCCAGCCCACTGACTTTTGACTCACGGTCATCATGGTGCATCTGGATTGCTTGCCCACCCCCGCGCCTCTGCCTGCTGCTTGGACAGATAATCAACTCACCTGTGCTGCACAGGCTGCAGCTATTGCCAGACACTATCAGCCCCCATGCCCCCACCGCCTCCAGTGCTGGCCACTCCCCCCCACCTGATGACAACCTTAACTAGGGCTTATTGGGGGGGCGGGTAAGGCTTATATTAGGAATACACTAGAAATCTGCCTGGTGCTTATTTTCAGGGAAACACTGTATTTTTGATAATAAAGGTTAGATTTTCTGCTTATAGTGAAAATAAGCAGTTTTCACTTCAGATTCCCCCCATCCTGGTCCATTTTACCTCACTTGGGTTGGGATAAATAAATGAAAATTTGCTTACTGTGGGTGAACATCCAGAATGAGCATATTAAAAGAAAATAATATTGAGAGAAAGAGATGGATGAAATTCAAAACTGAGGAAAAACGGGGACATATAGAGGAGGGTGAAGAACAAGGAAGCTACCCAACCAGATTTGCTGGCACTGACTAGCGATCACAAGGAAATAATTCTGGAATGGGAGCTATAAAAGATGAGAACTGCCAAAAGCCAGGGGTGTCAAACTCGTGTCGTCATGACAGTGTCACATGATGTATCGGGACTTTTTCCCCCTTCACTAAACTGGGCGGGGGTGGGACCAGCATGTGACGCATCCAACCCGCAGGCAGCGAATTTGGCACCCCTGCCTTAAGCAAACTACAATAGAAGCTTTCTAAATTCATGGGGATGGCATGTGTATTGTATGTTTTTTCTTGGAAAAACACATAAGATTTTGATTTTTGTATTTCCACTGAAAGTGTATATATAATTTCCTTAACCCACTAAATGCTTCATTTATCCCACCCTCACCGGCCAAAACTACTATATAAGCTCCAGTTGCTCCTGTCAATGAGTTGGGTAGGTTGCAAAGCAGGTGAAAGCACTTGTCTTTCAACAGGAATGTTGAAAGAGGGGGACAAAACAATAGAACTGTAGACAGGAATTGTTAATGAAGGGTTTCTCCAGGCTGCTGAGTTAAAACAAAATCCGCTATAACAGCACAGGACAGGAGCCAGTGGGCAGCAGATTAGAGATTAACAGAGTTGGAAGGGGCCTTGCAGGTCATCTAGTCCAAACCCTTGCCCTAGCAGGAGACCCCACACAATCCACATAATTATGTACAATTTCTATGGGGGTTACAGCAGTGGCTTCATAACTGGATGCTCAATTCTGCTATCCAGGAGATCACATTTCTGGCATTTCTTCGTACAGCTCTTTTAAGGAACCAGAGAACTACAAACAGTAGTAGAAAAGCAGAAAACATGGGCAGCTGCCAACGGCAACACAAGTAGCAACATAAAGCTGGCAGAATCCAGCTCTCTTTCTGGTTCAGTTCCATCTCCTGGGCACCACAGAGCTAGCACTCTCCAGGAGTGTAAAGCCCAACAGACTCTGGTAAACTTGACACACTTTGGAAAGTGCAGATCAAAGTATTCTGCAGAAACCCGATGTCTGGTCTTCCCTTCAGTCAGGCAAAAATGATCCCTGGGGAGAGTGACCAGTTATGAGAGGGAGGGAGCAGCCCTAAAGTAGCATGTACTGGCAGATCCTGGTGGCTTTAGCAACCAAAAGGTCAGCAAAAGGTCAGCATGCCAAATCATAACCACACACACACACACAAAGGGCTGTTGGAAGCAGTTTGAACATTCTATTTTAAAACTGGAATTACATTAAACTGCCTTGGGGAAGTTCACAAGATCTTGGCAAGAAAAAGGGTTATAGGAAAGAAAGAAATTATTCTGTGTTGCACGCTCAGACTCACCTCCTCCTCCAGTCCTAGCCCATGCTGGGGAATGTGACTGGGTTTTTTTTTTCTCATCAGCAGGAAATCTCCAATGTTGGGTGACCAGTACCTTCAGACAAGGAGTCCTGAACTCATTGGTAGCCTCAGACTGCAATAAACAAGGACATGCATTCAACTTTGCAGCTACTAAGATTGTTAGATGAGCAGGCACATAAACAGCCAGGGAAGTGATTGAAGCCTGGCCCCTCGTCAGTCAACAGGAGTACTGATTAACCAGCAGCATATCAAATACTTAGAATAGGGGTCTTCAAACTTGACAGCTTTAAGACTTCAACTCCCAGAATTCCACCTCCAGTCATGTTAGCTCAGGAATTCTGGAAGTTGAAGTCCACAAGTCTTAAACTTGCCAAGTTTGAAGACCTTCAACTTAGAAGGTCTTCAAACCTTGACCTTTGACTTAGAAGGTAAGTGCTGGGCAGCACAAGCACAAGCAAATGATAAGCCACCCACCCTAATCAACATCTAAAAACCCACATACAGCAAGTACCACACACACAGCAGCACGCATTCTGCTAGAGAGAAGTTCCCTGAAGATAGACAATATTGCACTACCTAGCCAAAAAAAAAAGGTCTTCCCAAAGCAATATTTACACTGTTTTCATGGAGCAAAAGGCCATGATGCTATACCATGTGAGAGACTTTAGCGAAAAGTAGCTGGAACTTTGATGAATCCTCATCATCTAAAAATGACTTATGGGTTTAGGCAAGAATGTCATGATAATATTGGCATTCTAGTTTTTTTTAAAAAAAGAATGGGCATTATGGGATGCACTGAGAACACAGACCAAAAGTTAAGCAGGCATAGTACCTTTATTCCCCACGCATGTTCTCACCCAGTCAGTTGCTGCTGCAAGACTTGGTGCTGATCACATTCAGCAGGGAGGATTTTAAGCAGTCAATGTGACTTTTTCAGCTGTTCTGCCCCTTCCGGAGTGAGACAAGCAGCCAATACCCGCAAACCACAAACATCCAGTTGCCTGGCCAGTCTGTTCCCAAAGCCAGAATTTACAAGCAATGATGAATGTGTACCATCTCTTTCTCCTAGTACCAGTACCAACAACTAAGGAGGTAAAGCCCTACCAGGGCAGCC